GGACAATCCAGCCATTTATTTACATAGTCGTCGAAAAAACATGAGTAAAACAACTTTTACATATTATATGTGATCTTGGAGGAACGACCGATTGATGCGAGGTAGTATGTGAAAGTACGTAAAATTAGCCTCTCGGTATTCTAAGTATCCAGTATGGGTATCTAACAGGCATGGACGAGTCCGAGCCGAGTCCTTGCAAGTTCAGACCAAGTCCGAGTCGTTAAATTTTCAAGCCGAGTCGGAGCCCATTTCGAGTCCGGTAATCTTTTAGATTCTTTTTTGATGAGGGTGGTTTATATTTTAATTTGCTGAGCCCTGGATAGATATTTGATTTTTCGAAAATAAGGTTACGTTCCATGTCGATCTCCCGAACAAAATTTTCAGTTTCATGTGAAACAGTAGGTGTTGTTATTTCGCTTTTTTTCTCTGCTCATTTGTGTTAAAAGTTGAATAGATCGGACTCGGAATATAAAAACTCAAGTCCGAGTCCAAGTCCTTCAGAAAAATCTCCAGCCCGAGTCCGAGTCCGCCAAAAAATCTTCCAGTTCGGACTCACCCATGCCTAGTATCTAATCATATTCTGAAGTTTTCGAATGGCTAAGTTGGATTTTGATGGAGATATGAATTTTTAACCCTTGTATGGATGCAGCTCAGTTTTGTTTTTATTAAGTTTTCTCCTGGGTTCTGCCGCCAGACTCATAATGGTCAATAATCTATGCTTTCATTTACTTTCGAGATTAATAGAGATCACCTAATACTAGCTATGAGGATTCCAAGAAAACTGATTCACATCTTAACTCCAAGCGGATGAATGTGCTGATTAGGATATTTGAGACAGTGCAGTTTCTAGAAAATTCGCTGAGCTCTAAAATGGTATATGACACAATGTGTATGTGTTTCTTTACCATTGTAAAAAAAAGTAATGAATAACCAATACAAAAGAGCTCTACGAAAAAAACTTTTTACCTAAAGGTATCCTGTAGATAAATGTACAAGCAGTTTTACAAGCTGATTCCGAACGTTATATTTGTTTTGATTGAGAAAAGTAGATTTTACGTGAGAAAACACTGAATTCAGGAAAATCTGTTACAAAAGCTTAGAAAAGAAGTTAAGTTTCTCTATACTTTTGTTTTCATATCAGCATCATTGCCGACTGTGCCAAATCCACTTCAGATTACACACTTAAACCACTCTCTAATCAAAAACATTTCATAGCTAGATTTTTTAAGAAGCGGCTAATAGAAAAAAGATGCAGTTTTTACCAATCTATAGTCAAGATTTGATCATATCTTTTCATGTTAGAGAAATGTCTTCATATTTTGACAACGAAGGTCTTGGAAGATCTTTTTGAAATCTGTTCTGATTCTAGAACTTGAAAGAGCAATATATTTGTTCTTTTGCCAAAACATTCCGAACAAAACTTAAATGATCTGGCTTTAGGCTGAATGCAATTAAAATCGGAATATAACTAGCTTCGCGAAAAGTAACTTGCTTTTACCGAGTTCTGTAATCAAATTTCATGGAAGTGTTTCAACTACAACTAGACCTTACTCATAGTTTAGTTCAATCTAAATCATATTTTTTCCTTTTTTCCTGTCCTATAGCATTGTGCACCACAAGAAAAAAGATCTGCATTGAGAAGGACGTCATGTTTACTAGTTGAATTTTGTTATAAATCTGTATTTTTTCAGAATAAGTAAGAATAGTCAGATATCCGAAAATTAGAAATCATTCAAAAAAACTCATAAAAGTCGAAAAAATATGATAAGTCGGAGGAATTGGCAATCCAGATAAGAATCTTCGTCGTTTATGAGCAAAGTTCGAAGAAAAAATGAACATTCCATATGTAGAGAAAGAAGTTGAATAGACAGTAAAAAAATCAGCGCATATACACATTTGAGGATAAGACTCTAAGGAAAATATAATTATCTTTCTCTACTTCGGAATAAAGATATAATAGGGAAACACGCACACTGTGTATTTTTTCGCCAACATTATTTTTTAACCATGAGGAGAAATCGTTTTCTGCATTTCAAAGGAGAAATTTTTATAAAGGATGAAGACGACAAGATACAGCTAATTGTTGCATTCATACTGTTATCACTACAGAATACAGGTGAAGACATGTAAACTCAAACTGTTGAATAATCCCTGCGTTGTACGATTTGGACTATTGAACCGAAATAGAAACTTGCTAATCATAGCGGATTCAAGTGTCATAGTGCATCTTCGTCGTTACAGAATACAAGATAGTGTATACTACTCTCAAAAACAAAGTTGTTGAAGTTTAAAAATGATAAAAGTCATCGAGTAAGTGTGACTTAAATTTATTAAAACTCCCAACAATTATGTGTCTTCTTCTTCGTGGTCACTGCGAATGTTATATTACAAATATAAAGGCTTATTAGTTACAATCAAATTTTAAAATAACATTATACATGCATACAGCATTAGCTATTCAGTTAGCTAATGGAGCACCAGAAATAACATCATGATCGTACTAGAATGAAAGCTCCGAAACGATCTTTCTAGTTTCTGGCTGAAGAGTTGGCATTTTGTATATGAACTTATTTTAGAATATGTATACAGTTTTCCTGAGAAAACAGTACATTTTTTGCAATTTTTTTATTCGACAAACGCTTCTAAATAAAATATTATAGATAGAACACACTTTAGCATATAGATAAAACTTGATTTTTTCTTATTTCTAACTTTTAAAAGAAAAATACTGACAGATGCAATGGAGGTTAGTACCATTTGTGTAACTTTTTCCAAGACTATGCACATATTGGTAAGATTTGACGGATAGCTTTATTTTCTGCCCTAAATATCTGCTTAAATAAATTCAAAACCAAGAAAGACTTATTTATTGACTAAGCATACGTGTCATAGGCTGAGAAGCGTTCTGGAATTAGGTAAGGCTCAAAATATTTTCGCCCCTTCCCATCGAATTTCTACCGAAGCATTAAGCAGAATAAAACCCTATCTTATTTTAAATAGAAATAGAATAAAAAGCACCAAAACACTACATTTTCTGCCCATTCTTCGATGAAAAACTGGAAAAAATATTATTCAAGTTACGAGAATCCAGCAAATCAGGGATTTCCATTACATATAATCTTGTAATGTGCTAAAAAGGATAGAACCTGTTGATTGTCCTGCTTTGCTTACCCGAAGATACTTACCGTTTGATAACATAAACACATTACACATAAGAGAGAACTATTTACTATGATAAGTTTTATTGAATAAGTAAAATAATTATATCCATCACATTGGTAGCTGTATGACCTATTTTTATTAAATCATCAGGCTTAGTTGTGCTCAAATATGTGTAGGCATCGTTATTTTCAAGAGCATTTTGTGCTTCTTTAATATCGTCACCAATCATCGATGAGTAAGCAAAACCACCAGCCGCATCGGTAGGACCATCAATTCCATCACTACCAGCACATAGAAGAAGAATATTTTCCTTTTGTTCGTCAAACAACTTTTTACTGTGTATTGCAGCCGAAAGTGCCATTTCCTGGCACCGTCCACCTTTTCCCATCCCACGTAGATTAACTGTGGTTTCACCACCAAGTAATACACACAAAGGTTTTTTTTGTTTGACAAATGATTTAAAATTATTGTAAGTATGAGTATCGGAGAATATATCATTGAAATTATTTGAATCAAATGTTGATTGATTCTTAATTGCATAAGCCAATTCAATGAGTCTCTTTCCGATTACACTCGCTTCTCCACTCAGTCTATTAGTAACAATAAATGGATTATAATTCAATGTTTTACTAAATTTCTCACCAGCTTCTAATGCTATACTATTACTGCCAACGATGATGTTATGAACAATTTTCGAACTATCACTGATAAAAGATAAAAAGAAACATTATTCTATATGCAGGAATATGTTGAATGTACAAGTTACTTTTCTTGTATTTTCTCTTGATTTTGTTTTTTTTGTAAATAGTTGGAAAATGATCTTGGTATTTTATCTAACAGATTATATTTCTCAAAGACGCTCAATGCGGCTTGACAACTATTTCTCGAATAGAATGTTGGTCCACTAGCAATACTCGAAATTGGATCGCCAATGATATCCGATAATATCAGGGAAATAACCTTAAATAAAATGATCATTGACACATGTGAAGTTTGTTTTGTACGTATTTATCTCAAATTACTGTTGAACTCTTTGATTCACGAGCAAGTCCACCATTTTTTAATTTGCTCATAGCTTTTCGACAAGTATTTAATTCTTCAATATTTGCACCATCTCTTTGTAACAACTCAATCATTTGAACTTCTTCATCTAAACTAATATCGTCAATGGGCAAAGGTAACAGAGCTGATCCTCCACCTAAAGAGAATTAAGCATAATTCAAATTGAAACAAAATTTTGTCCTATGAGATCTAAGTCATTAAATGCAAAAACGAAATATTTAGATTGATTTGTAAGCTGTTACAATTACTGTCCATTTTACTATAGAAGACAGTTCACTTTTCTTCGAATAACATTTGACAAGATCAAGATAATAGAACAGATCAGTGGTTTTAACTGTTCGATAGGACACATTAGGACAACTGATTCATGAAAAAACGTTCAAAACATCACTTCCAGATGGTGGGTACGCTAGGATCACTGCTTGATAATCTTGGAAATGAATGTAAACATAATTTATTAACTATTTTGGGTATCTTAGTCATATTTGTTTTCAAATAAAAACAACTATTAGAGAAATCTGATATAAAATCTTTTTATCCTGCTATATTCAAACAGTTATAATCTCAGATCTATATCATTTTTTTTGCTGTCAAACGTTATTCGAAGAAACATGAGCTGTTTTCTGTTTTGAAATGGGGGTAATCTACTCTTTCAGAACTTGAATCAAAAAACATATAGCATGTTTATTCATTTGAAATCATATCAACTTAGATATTTTTAAGCTGTATTCTCAACGGTACTAATCAAAAAAATGGTAAAATGATATATTTTTGATAAATGATAATCAATGTCGATGAGCGTTTTATCTGTAAAATATTTTGCATGTTTAAACTTTTGTCACATAAAATAAACACTATAAGTATGTGCGTGCGTTTTTCTTAAAATGTTTTTTTTGCCAGGTAAAGCTTAACCGATCTAAGGAAAAAATATGATCCTCAAAAATAATTTGAGGATATTTTTATCTCAAATATGTTATGTAGAAGATAAAAAAACATTTGCCTGGTATATTTGCTACATTAATCTAACTTTACGCAAAGAGTTGTTTCATTCTAAAAAAAATACTCTACATATTATTCACAATGTTATCATTCACTCAGATTGTCTATATCATAGGTATGTATGAACGGATCTTTTTAAAAATTCTTCCAAGATACAAAAAAAGCTCATCGTTCACTAAAATTGCTTTTACAGATGAAAATCTCATCGTTAACTATGTGAAAGATGCAGAAAAAACATTTATAAATTTACTTTGTACCAATATTACATACTTTGTCAATACTATTGCATCAATAGTATAGTCTGTCTCACTGTAACAACTATGTTCAGTGTTTCACATTTATTTTGTTAAAATAGGTCTTACTCTATGTGTATTATGCTATGGTCAAATATCATTACTTAAACCACCATCAACAGTAATTTCCGATGAACAATTATCTGACTTAAGCAGTAATCATGCACCATTACATGAATTTCTAGAATTATACAAACGACGTAGCGACAGTCGTGGAGCATTACCCCTTTTCCGTGGTTCCAATTTGGGAATATTTGTCCGAAAACGTCCAGACACTGATCATTCAATGACAAGACGAAAAGAGACACGCAATGATTTAGAAAATTCAATATTGGCTGATGAAGATGCTACCACTAATCTCTTATTGAAAAATCATCGTCGTCATGAATATGACGATTCAGCTGGCCCAATGTTTGGATAAACTAAAATCGATGACTCTATGATTCTTTTTTCAATCATTTTTTCTCCTCACTTTCAAAATCACGATACTTTTGTATACGATACTAATGTCGAAAAAAGAAATTTTTAATCAAGAAAACATTAAAACGATGTCCTTCTTTTTTTGTGAAAAAATCCCTTACCAGAGATTAGTACTAATAAAATATCATTGGAAGATAAACAAGTAATCATTGAATAAATTTTATTGGCTGTCTCCATTGCTGCTTTATCCGGTTTGTTATTTTCAGCACCTTCTTTCACTTCAAATGATGACTTAAACTTTGGATATGCGTTTCGACTAAAACATCAAGAGGTAAGAATATTGATTATATTATAAAAACAAAAAATTAAAAAATACAAGCCGAACCTTTCAGCTTGGGCAATTGCATTGACCGGTACACTAACAATTCCTTTAACAATATGTTTGGAGAGCACTTCATCAATAGCATGACACATTCCTGAAATAAGTATACTCTACTCGAATTAACTAACATACTCTCATTTCTTTCCATGTTGTCCACAACTTCACTGTAGACTATAAACAATGTACTTGCCTAAAGCTGCTTTGCCAAATCCTACTATGTACACATTCTGTTCGACAGGTATACGATACGATTCATTAGTATTTTTTTCATTGTTAATAACTAAAATTCTATCATTTTCTAAACGAATATGATTTTTGACACATTCATATGGAGCCACAGCTTTAATCGATGAATCAAATATTTTCAAAGCATCGGATTTTAATTGTGGAATGTTCATATGTGATGAAATATTCTTACGTAATGGGAATGTGTAGAAAAACAAAACTTTCAAAAAGTTTAGTCTAAAACGAAGCATGCAACAAAAAAAAAAAATATTATGACAATCGCTTATTCTTTCATACGATATCTGGCACAGGTAAGACTATTTCAAATGCTTGAGAAGCGTTAAAGCTAGTCCATAAATATTATAACTCTTCTAAAACTTGAAACCAATACGTATAAGAAAGAATAACGCTTGATTACATCGTCTATTGAATTATTTCATGCTACAGGAATTCAAATAATAATCATAATTGTTAAGTTCACATTCTTTTGACTTTTAACAAGTAAGCTTATAAGTTGACTCGTTTTTTTAATACTTGCAATGAACGTCCATTAATAAATAAATGAGAAAATCTGACAAAAAACATCTGCACAACATTAAAAAAAAAGACTCAATGATGACCACGACCAAAATATTCGGAAGAAGAATTAGATGTTTTCGGTTAATTTCTAAGAGAGTAGTTGACTGAAAATTCTAGATTACAAAAATAAAGAAGAATGCAGAAATAAGCAAAGAGAAACAACAGCAGATAAAAATAGAAACAGGTTCTCAATGTTTTCTTGAAAGACTATTTAAGAAAATCACCGGGTACTTCAAACTCTTCTAAAGATTTTTTGACTATTTATATTAACATAAAAAGTTTCACTAATGACCGTAGATTTCGTTGGGAATGCTGCATAAGTTCACAACAGTATTGCACCATGAATTATCTTGTTTTTTAAATAATAATGAGGTTGAAAATCTGGTTTTTGATGTAATACTTCATTTAACGTAGCATCATTCCATTTAAATGAAAGTATAACATTGACTAGACGACACTGATTAAATGTGACATTGGAATACAATTCAATATCTTTACTAGAAAATGATTGACGATCAGCAATTGACGTTAAAACAAATGCCATCCAGTCATACACAAGACATGAACGAAGAAATTCAAATAATGATGACAAATTATCATTTGATTCAAATGTGACCTAAAGTATAGACTAACAATTAAGAATGTCAAGACAGATAAGAAGTAGTTAGACTGGCATAAAAAGATCAAGAGAGACGACTATGATTGACTCCATTGATTTGAAACTTCTACTAGACAAACATTTTATGGTTAAATCTTTTTTCTTTAATTTAAATAGCTAACTTTTCTTTTGTTTTTCATTTGTTGGTTGTTCATCTAACTTATGTCTTTCACCAGCTCTCGAAAATTTATTCTCACGTTTTATTTTAGAAAAGAACTTTGTTATAGCAGCCATTCTGCAGATACCTAAATCATTTAAACATTGAAAATTCACTAAACGAAAATCTCGTTTCAATATTCAAAAAGAAAACAAAATGCCATTAACTTACTTTTTTCAATAATCCTTTCTGAGTACTACAACTCAAGCAAGCAATTGTATGTTCTTGATTTCCAATCAAGAAGACAATTTGTGTAGAACCGTTTTCTCTTTTATTTCAAAGTTACATTCTAAAAAAATCTTGGAGGATACTCAAAAAAAAAAAGATATCTTGAATTTTAACCACACAATTCGTTAAGAGTACATAGATAAACAAAAGATAATTAGTTGATAGAAAACCAACAAAGTGAGAGGATGATACACATAAACGCAAACAACAATAACTAAAATGAACAAAAATAATAATAAGACAGTGTACAAGTTCACAAAACATATTGAAAACAAAAAAGGAAAACATTTACATATAAACAAAGTTTCAACGCTATAATTCAATTGTTTAGTTATTCGCTCAAAATACAATTGTTGTGGAAAATAGTTATATAGAATACACTCCTAAGGAGATAGTTAATCTTAACAATAAAGAGGAAATAAGTTCTACAAATGTACACAAAGACAAGCAAAAATTTTACTGTCAGTTAATTTTCTTATATACAAACAATGAAGAGAAAAAACGTCCGTAAAAAACAATGTACACAACCAACACATTGACAAAAATGTTGGGGTTATCAGCAGCTTTATGTTATAAACTGATTTTATATAATCGAGCTGCATTTTTTTTTCCGATTTTTACATTGAACTACTTCTAGTTAGTTTTCTGCTTCTGAATTTTGAGTATTTTTTATTAAGTGTCGACTATAAGTAAAAACTACATTCCTTTAACATTGATAAAAGAAGAACAATATGAAACGGTAACAAGAGCACAACATGAAAAAAATTTGTTTTTTATATTGTTCACTCTTGTAATGGGAAAATTCATTTGCAAATCTTAGAAAAATAAGCAGGCAGGCGAAAATGGATTTTTGTTCTAACTTTTAAATCGAGCAACTTTTCAACGATTAGTTACAACTTCTTTCTTTCTCTATTAATAAAAATAAAAAGTATACACCATTTTTAATCAAAAGTAAAAAAGAAGAAAACAGAAATAAACACAAACGAGTCTGATGAGTTAATTGAATTCAATAAATTCAAGATGCAATTGATTAATATTGTGGTTGAATTTCAGTAATGGTAACAGCTACAGCCGGAATAGCAAATGGTTGATGTGAACGTATTTTTGCGTGTGTTAATAAATGTTGTTTAAGATTTGTTGATTGTGCAAAACGTCTACTACAACCGTCAAACGGACAAACGTACGGCTTATCGCCAGTATGAATACGAACATGAGTACGTAAATTAAAATCTAATGAGAAGCGTTTACCACAACCTTCAAATGGACATTGAAATGCTTTTTCGCCCGTATGAACCAGCTGATGTCGACGTAATTTTGAACTTTCAACAAATGATTTTTGACATTCATGACAAACATGCACACCTAAATTGAAAAAGATGAATGTACAGCTTATTTTGCTAAAATGAAAAACAATTTTTTTATCAAACATATGAGCTATGGTGTAGTTTAAAAAATCGTACTTATTAACATTAAGGTCAAAACATATGAAAAAAACAGAATATAAATCATATATAAAAGAGGGAATGTCAAAGACGTTTGATATACATAGAAAATGGAGTGTGGAGATAAACTTACGTGGTCCATGAGTGTGCAGATGTTTGTTCATTGAAGCATGATCACGAAACATTTTTCCACATCCTGTATGATGACAGCGAATGGTTTTTGGTTGATCATCAGCTGGCAAATGTGTTCGACGTTTTCGATGTGGTTTAACCAAACTTTGTACATATTCAGGATTACTAAAATCAGCTGGACGTTCATTTATTTGATCACTATTGTTATTATCATCTTCATCTTCTTCATCAATATCTTGTGATGACTCATCCATTATTTGTGATTGTTGATGTTGAATGATAGTTGTTGGTTGAAGAATTTGTTGTTTCGACCGACGTTGTTGAGATTTTTTTGTCATTAATTGGTTTACATCATCGTCTGATTCAGTTTCATTTTGAATTTGTTCATTTTCATCGTCAATATTATCGATTGAATCTTCATCATCGTCATCTTCATCTGGTGAGTCTGTGTCTGAATCATGAATGGCATTTGGATTAACACCAGCTAAAGCCAATGCATTCAAAATTGTTGCCTGATTAAACGTTGATGTTGATGTATTATCATTATTATTTCCGACAATAACAATATTTCCAGATGAATTAGGATTTTTGAGTAATATTGTTGATGTTATGTTTTGTTGTTGTTTCAAGTCAATTGTTGTTGGAATCTGATTTGAAATTAATTGATTATTATCAATTGATAAATCTTGTTGTTGTTGCTGCTGCTGAAGTGCTCTCGAACGTTTTGAACGTAAACCGGTGCTGCTTTGATCGTCTAAATAAGTTTGAAAACATTAATGTCCCAATTTATTATTAGAAATTAATTTGTCGATTCAGCAATTTTTCTAATCTCTATACATTCAGTATAACCAAAGGAAAACGATTTACGAGCTGAAAAATTATTTACTTTGTTTTTGTTCTTTGAAGAAAATGCGTTTGATCTACGTCTCAATATTAAAAACGAGAAATATACCTATAATTTGTTCTTGTTGTTCTGCTTTTGTTTTCTTCGTTGGTGATGATGGCGGTGATGGTTTTTCTTTTGTTCGTCTCTGCTTTTTTTGCTGACGATTATCATCATCAGTTTCAATAAGAATATCATTTGTTGTCGATTGTTCTTTTTTCATTTTTTTCGGTGAATGAACAAGCTCTTGTTTAGGTTTTGGTTTTCTTCCTCGACGACGTGGTGGCAAAGATGTGGAATTATTATTATAATTTTTTTTTCTTTTTAATACTGCTGGTGATGACGAGGTCATGTTTTTTTTTCCGCCACGCTTTGGTCTTTTTGTTAAATTTTGTTGTTGTTCTGAGGTTGACCATAACGGATTATTACTGTGATAATAGGAATTATTTGTGGAATTTAAATTAACAATATTTCCATGGTCAACAATTGTTGTACAAGAATCGACAACTTCATAATCTCCCGATTCAACGATGGGTATATCACCTTCATATAAATATACTGGATTGTCCATCACACACAAATTTAAATAAATTATAAATACATATTTTACTCGATTTTTTTCGTTTTATTTTTGCTACTGCTGGCTACTAATCAAGTTTTTATTTCTAGCGTATTTAAGCAACTATAAGATCGAGAACGACCGTGATTTTCAAGATATTTCCTAGAATACAAAAAAAAGAAGAGCACTGAAATGTGCATGGTAATAGTTTTATTTATGCATTGTATGAAAAGCGGTTTCTTCTAGAAGTTCACTATGGCTCAACTGCTACCTTACACGCTTTATAATAGAAGAGTAGCATGATCGAACCTACTTCATATCGAGACCGTGTTTCCGCACAATTCAATCTTGGTTGTGCAGAGTCTGAGTTCTCGTACAGCACAAGTCGAAGTTCATTCTGAAATGGTTTATTCAATAATCATTTACAGAAGTTTGATTCGATACAAACTCAAAAACACCACACAATTCAGAAAACTATAGATGTAATGTCTGTATTCTATGAGACAGACCTTATTCCATGGAATAGTCTTTTTCAACTTTTAGTCAAAAGTGTTCCCAGAACTTAGGTTTTCGCGAGCGTTAAGATATATAACAATAAAGTCTTCAACTGGAAGAGTAAGTGGGTTGATGCAGACAAACACGTATGAAGCCTCTTTAGATCTCAGATTCACTGAGCTATGCTGACCTGAATTATGCCCAAAAAGAGTGAATCGTCATTTCAAGGTCATATTTTATGCATGGCTGATAGAAAAGTGATACCTGGAAATTAATTATTTAACACAACACAACCAACCTGTCGCCATCTTTCGACATTTATTTGGATCTAGATCGCCTTATTGACTCAACATCATACTGATCTAAAATTTTAGCTTTAATACATATTCTTTGGCGTAAAATGGATGAAATTTAGTAAAGTATTTATTAGAATAGTTTGTGTTGTTCGGTTAAAAAAAAGCCTGAATCTATTCACCTGTTTTGGTTAATTGCTGTAAAATTAAACTGCCGGAATAAAACCAAGCAAGAAATATGACAATTGGCGAAAGAAATAACTAAATGAATAACTAGTAAGTTAATGAAGTTCAAAATCAAGCTCTATTTTGCTTTTTTAAAGATATCTATGCAATGAGTGTAAAATCGTCAACGATAAATGCTTGGAGAACAAAGCAGAATTTTAAATTAACATCGTTATCTAAAATATAAAAAGCATAATAACTACTGTTAAATATTGCTTAGGATAAAAATTTGTCTAATCTTCAACATAACATACATCAGTCTTATTTTATCCCCTTTTATAGGATAAAATAATGCTGAATGGACACTTTTGAGATACCGAATAACATGTCGACAAAGAAACGTCAATATTTTTATTCTATCTTATTTTATTTTGAAAATGAGAGTAAGTTTATTTAATTACCATATAATACAGTAGCCAGAGTAAGACAAATACACGCACTTACGTACACAATATATATATTGTTTTTTGATTTGGAAACAACAAGACACAGAATCAACAAAACCAGTTTAAGGATAATTCATAAGTTAGAACAGAAGGACGCAAGTGCTTCGAAGACAAATACGTGCACACACATGTATAACTTCACGTTCTTTTATCTCGTTCACTTATAAATACAAAATGAAAAGATCATGAGTATAGTTAAAAAAAAGCAAAACGAAACAATTGACGCTTATTGATAAAAAAAGACGAGAATATCCAAAAAAAACGATTCGTATATATTAAGCGCGCGCTCGCATACTTATAATTAACAAGTTCTGAAAATTTTCAAGTTTTTACGAAAGAAAATCAACAACAAAGAAAAAAATTATAAAAATAACCTGACTAAGTCGATGGTTAATCCATTGTATTGCTATTATCCTCCTCCTGTACGACTTCAGATGATTTTTGTAATTCATTATCGTTTTCAGCTTCATCTTCATACTTTTTCAATATTTTCATCAATTTTCTATCCTCATTTTGCTGATCTTCTTCGCCTTCTTCATTATCTCTTAATTGTTTTTCATCATTTGTACCGCTAGTACTAGATTTCGTTCGTTCTTGCTGTTCACGGCCGTTTTGAGCCGCAGGAGGTGAAGAATAATTTGAACTACGATGCCTATCATGTTTGTGTCGATGGTGTGATGATGAATGCTTTTTCGAATGAGAGCGAGATTTACTACGACGATGTCGCGATTGTGAACTAAAACAACAATATCTCTTAAAATATGATGTTTCTAAATTCTTAGGTATCTTACCGCGATCGAGAACGTTTATGACGACGATGTGATGACGATTTCGAATGTTTAGATCGTTTAGATGAATGTCGTGATTTTGAGTCTGATCTACACTTAATAAAACATAATTGAATTATGGACTAGGTGAATGGAAGTCGCATCTATTACCTTGAACGTGATCGACGTTTATCACGACTAGAACGTCTTCTTGAGTGACTTCTGCTTCTGGTTCGGTGCTTCATTCGTTCATTTGTACCATCAGTTCTGCTATTGCTCGAACGATACTCATCACGCGCAAAACCGCCACCACTAGTACGATCCATTCGTTGATCGCCACGGTCGTTTCGTACGGCAGTTGTGCGAGTGAAACTTGGACTATTAAAAACGTCAGTTTATTCATGCGAAAGTTGAATAATAATCCTCACATACCTTCTTCGCTGTTTTCGATCTAAATCTCGTTTTTCTTTCCATTCACTAACACGTTTTTTCAAATCCGTTAATTTTTCACGTATTTGTATGAAACCGAGATGCAATTTTCCTCCAAAATGATCAGCTAAACGTCTGTCATTATCATGGATCCCCAAATATGCAGAACACACTTCACATACACGAAGCTTTTGTTGTTGATAGGTTGAAGCAGGCATTGTTGAACGAAATTCATGTTCAGCGTCGGATTTTTGACGTTTTAGTTGCTCAACTTCATCCAACAACTTCATCGATTCATCAACAAGGCCTTGTGCACCTATAGAAGTAAAACAAGATTATTAAAACAGACAAAACAACAGAATCTAATGAAAAGCTTGCCTAATTCTTCAGCTTTTGCTAATTTTGTACCAACTAGTTCACCGAGTTCGTGAATGGCATTCATCTACAATAGCAACAGAAGGAAAAAGCTAGACATATATAAACGGATGTATGAATAAAAATTCATACTTTTCGAGCAGCCTCTTCACCAAGCTCTTCTTGTGTTTCACGTAGCTTTCTTTTAGCATGGTCGGTTTTTCGATCACAATCAACGACAAACCGATTTAATACATCAAGTGCCTGTAACAGAAACGTATTACCATTCAAAAAGAAGAGATGGATAAAAACTTATATACATCCAATTCATAAAACAAATTTTTTTCCTTCGCAGCACGTTCATAATCGGCTCGAAGTGCATATTCATGAATTTCTGAACATTCACCTAGGTCGACACGCTAAAATGGAAAAAAAACACAACTATTTTCACACTAAAAGTGCAAATCAATAGCTTACTGTCCCAGACAAAATTTCATGCGGACAACAACCAAGAAGAAATGGACGACACACTCGTGGATCACTGAATGGAACATTGGCCTTCGTAGATCCTAGGAATTAAGGAGAAATGAAAAAATGAAGTTTTTCGACTAATCGTAAAGAAAGTCACGAACAAGCTAGAGTTAAGTACTATTTATAATCTTTCACTTACAGAGCCATTATAAAGTACTTGGGACTAATCGTTGAACACGGGTTGTATTACTCTCTTGATACACTTACTATTAAATAAACAGGTTTTTACTCGTCCTCTTTTTTGCAACAGTCCTTTCAAAGATGCAGGAACTTTTATTAACCACTGTTTGCGAATAACTTCTTATACAATAAGTTTATTTTTTAATACGATGTAATGTTTTTTAATCAATACTTACGTCTCTTGTACGTCAGACATGTAAGATACGTACCCGAAAGCTTAACAGCGCATGTCCTTTACATTAAACGTGTTTTTTTCGGACACTGAATAAATACGTATATTAGAAGACTAGTTCATAATTTCAAAAAAAGAAAGGAAAGCCAATGATGGTTATTTGTTTACTCACAGCTCATACGAACACATTTGACAGAAGAATACTCACGATCTTATTGAAATCAGAACTCAACACTTTAACAAAAACTTTATATATTTAATTTATAGCTAAAAGCAAAGGAACGATATTTGATTTAAAAAAACAAATATTTATCGCCTCATTCTTGTTTATTTATGAGTATTACGAAATGAGAAAAAAATAGTTTAAGACGCACGAATAAAAATCAAATCGTAACCGCCCAGCAAATTAGATTATGGGCATTTTCATACGATAAAAAAGGACACTTTTAACCTTAATAGAAAAGAGCCCCTAATCAAGTCTATCTCTCTAAATGCTCTTTTCCACGTTATTGCATCAACATCATCACTAAAAGCTGATCGAATACATCTTTCGGAAATCCCACTAATACTTTCGCATCAAATAATTTTCAAGCTCATCTGCTATTTGAGTTTTTGATAATGAGTTGAATAATAAACATCAAAAAATGCAAGATATGGATGTTTCCAAAAGCAAATGACCAAAACATCTTCTTACCATCTTGTGACCCCATCAGTTGATCGAGCATAGCTCGTATTTGATCTCGAGCAGTCATTATTTCGTATCTACAAGAAAGCAAATACGAATTAATTATTTTTTAGTCAATGATTTTACTTTAGTCATTAGACAAACTTTGCGTCGGCAGAAAAAATTAGACGAAAGGAACAGATCTGTTATGCAAAGTCTAGCTGATAATCCAGTTCTTGCGCACATAAAGAGAGAATCTCTATCTTTTTTACAATCTCGTTTCTGTATCATTTCAGCTTTCCTGAGGCAGATAAGATAGATGTTTAGTACGATGCCGTATCTTTTCAACGTTTGTTCCCTACGTCTACCTTTCTTTCGATTACTTACAGAAAGATTGCTTTCTGATCGCAAAATCAGAACGGTACAGTAAAAATAAACTCAAGCGATAATGGTACATTAAGAAAGGATTTTCTTTAGTTTCCAAAATACAGACAGTGATACGAACCACATACTGTCAATTCTGTTAGTAAAAAGAAACCAGGAATGTTAGTAATTTGATAATTGCACATCTATGATTACGCATTTCATGTGTACAAGCTTTCTCTAAAGTAGTTCAGCCACAGTCGCACTTATAGTTAGACTATTTATGACACTTATAGACGTCGAATACGCTGTCAAATTGAGGGCATCTTTCCACTCTCATTGACCTGTAGTCATAATAAAATCACTAAGGTCATGTTCATACTAGCAAAATTAGCTCAGTGTTAAGAAAGCTGATTGTTAACTCGGAGTTAGCTCGTCTTCGACATCATTTAACTTTAATCTTCCAATCGTAAATGAGCTCAGTAACCAATAATATGGCTCCATTAGACAAAGGAGGTAACGCCAATTCTGTGGAGACAAACATCTGACTCTCGACTGAATTTTTCTGTTTGAGCTTAGAAAGGTAACTGTAGATCGTGAATTTAAACCGGTCGGCTGTTTAGCAAGCCGCAACCTTTGAGAGTGCTGAAGCCAGCAAGCAGCACAATTTTAGGGAAAATATCAAAATCTTAGTGATGTATTAAAGATTTAGATATGAACGCCGTCGAGGTTAACTTCGAGTTAACTCACAGCTAACTCTTAAAAATTTGTAGTGTGAACATAGCCTAACTTCAATCCATCATCTATCATAAATAAATTTTTCAATAAAGTAACACACATTTGTTGATCACTTGTGCCTTTACACATAAATACACCAATATATTGTTCCGAAATTCACAGCAGAAACATATTATAATGAGTTACTGAGTCATACCACTCATCTTAAGAGACTGCATAAGAAGAATGATATAATCTCTATGGAATTACAGATGTCGCTGAAATCTAGTATTATTTTCCCGAATATGATTTTGATGTACAAAGTTACTTCATTTAAAAGGTAAAAGAAATGCAAGTCAAAAAGTCTCGGTTCCGCAAAAAAGGAACCGTCTAAGAAACCGCGGTTTCGGTTCCATTGTCAGAGTCGGTAGCCCTGTTCCAATTCCCGATGAAGAACCGAAAATAAGAGAACCGCGGTTTCGGTTCTTAATGAGAGCCGAGAACCGAACATCTATATTTTTGAGCACGATGGTCGAATCCCAATAATCATTCCGGATTCGTTGTACTAGGGGTATTAGTTTAGTTTTATTGTTCATTTATAATAATGGATAAATATAAATAAATGAAAAAAAATTTATCTTTATAAAATAAAAATAAATGTATCATTTATTTTTAAAAAATAAAGATTTTATTTTATGGAATATATGCAGTAGATATGGAATGTTCTAAGATCACAGAATTTGTTATTATTCAGACCAAGCACTTTATTTAGAAGATATTTCTGATTGAAAACACCTGGACTGTAATCATAATTCCAAAACTACAGGTTGTTCAATTTATTTTGAAACGATTTGCATGCAGTTTTTCTTTACAAATCGTTTCAAAAAAAGATTCCTTACTGTACCAAACGATAGACAATTTAAAGATTTTAAAACCAAATTTTCTACAAGATTGTATATTCATTTATAAGATTCATCTTTGGCACAGTAAGTCTAACAGGAAAAACTCCAAATTTTTTAACTGTACCACGCATTTTTAAAGTGCAAACTGCTCTCTTTTTTTAATTGCTTGTAATGAGTACAAAAGGATCTGAATATAATTTTATTACAGTTAAATTGTGAAGAATTCCATACTTTACAAAAGCGTTTACTTGAAGGAAATTTATTTCAATTGCTAGTGGCTTTAACACATAAACTTCCAAGTCCACCGAAGTTATAGACCAAAAAATGCAGAATTTTGCGCTCGATTAGACTGTGTAACTTACAAATAAATCTGCTACTGTTTTTACCAGAAAAACTAGGGAATACTGGTTGTTGCTAAGACGGACGAAAAATCGGAGAAAATGATCTTTCTTGGAGATCGCTCTGATTTCATCTAAAAAAAATCATTGTTTGTCATTAAAAAACACATAATATTATAGAAAATTTCTTGCTGAATTTTTCGGTATACCTTGTTTTGTTGAATAAGTGATTTTTAGCGAGGTTTTGCGCAAAAAATCGATTTCTTGAAGATGCACTTGAGAAGTTTGGAGCTTTTCCTGTTAGACTTACTGTGTCAAATATCAAAGATGAATCTTAAAAATGAATATACAATCTTGTAGAGAATTAAATTGTCTATCGTTTGGCATAGTAAGGATTTTTTTTCTGAAACGATTTGTAAAGAAAAACTGCATGCAAATCGTTTCAAAATAAATTGAACGACCTGTAAAGATGAAACAAATGGTTGGTATTATTTTCCTGCGGCCATGATTTTTTTTTCGGAACTCGCTGCGCTTATTCTATTCAATCTTCTTTTCTCGAGCTAGGTTAGTTTAGTCGATCTGAGTAATTCATCATGACTTAAAACCACTTATTCTGAAGAGGAATAATCAGCTCATCAGGTATATCATATTATTTCTTCGGAGATATTATCTAAACATAAATAGAACAGTTTCCATTTTCTACCAAAATCTGTAAATGTAGTACCATTGTATTTTATATTATTATAGAGAGCATATCACTGGTACACCCTCATCTCTCACCCTTACCCTCCTCGAAAGGAAAAAATCCTTCTTCTTTCTCCACAGGTTCAATTTAGCTAAAATTTGCCTGTGATGATGCGAGTAATGTCGGACGCTCCCCTATTGTAAATGGATCATTTATTTTTAAAAAATAAAGATAAAATAAAGGATAAAGCTTTTATTTGAATGAATTAACAAGCAGGGAAATCTTAGTATGTCATCGTTGATGCTCTCACCCTCACCTCGAATCATGAGACACTATAGTGTCTCACTAAATTCACTATAGTGAATTTAGTTTCAATAAGAAAATAACAGTATTATCTATATTGATAAAAACTTTTGTAAAAGAAAAGCACATTTATATTATCATCAGTCACGTTAGAAAGAAATATTCTACGTCTTATGTTGCTATAAAACGGTATAAATCGAGTTTGTTTTCAGAATGATACCAAAAGTTGTATTATATATAAGAAAACATAGGATGACTGACGGTAGATAGAACATGTATAGTGGCTCACATCGAAAGTTGAAACGGAAAACGCTTAAGAAAGAAAATAAACCTGAGATATCTATATCTATCTCGATCGAATCATTTTTTCGAGGGATCATAATGTGACTGGATTGAAGGGACTATCGAAAAATGCACATATTGAGAAAAACACATTTTGTACACACGTCACTTTTTTCAGAGTAGTTGCCGCGGTACTTATATTTCGATGAAAACTGATCGGAAAATTCTAAAAGACGTCTCATTGTGAAGAGAACACGTGTTTCTATCAGACTATGTGTAAGAAAAAATTTCAATGTATAGAAAACAAAACTTTATGAAACTAAAAAACTGAGTGTTTTTCAGGCTTTGAAGGAAAAGCTTGAAGAACTGATAGCTTTTTGTAGGAAGGTCATGAAATGCTGGGAGTGGTCGTATTTTGTAGTCCAATTTCTCTACCCTAGTACCTAGAATATATGAAGAGGTTTCCGGATGAGATTTTCAAAGAATTTTGGTTTAATACTCCATCAAAAGATGCATACCGTTTTTTAGCTTACTCGTCGTCATCGTTAAAGGTGGAGAATATTTTTCGAAATTCATGTCACCACTGCCGATAGAGAGATCAGCTAGCATGTCTGCACGTATCAATGCATACTCCGTATCCTCATCGTCCCTTCAAGGGAAGATTACATGATAAGTTATCATGTAACTAACTCATGCATATAGTCTCTTTTTTCTTCTGTTTCTCGTCATGTTTTTTAATATTACTTTTCTTTTTACTCTTACATCAGTCTAACAACTATCAAATTCTGGAACTTCCTAGCATTCCAGTTTTCTGAAGAGCAACAAAGATGTCAGCCTAGTCTAATATTCTTTTTCTTTTCTCTGATAAACATACTTACATTTACAGTTTAAGATTAAGGAAGGAAGTAAGGACAGATATCTAATGAAACAAAGAAGATAACTCTGGTTTAAGAGCGAGAAAACTTTATGTCGTTTGATGCTCTCTACTAGATAAATAAGTTTTATTCGATAACAAATGGTTAAAGAACAAATAAAAGAAAAGAAAATATAGTTATTAGTGATCGAACTCCATGAATATTTTGTGAGAAATAAAAGCAAATAGAATGAGAACAGGAAATGCGTATTTGAGTGAGTTACCTAAAAAAAGAAAATTAAAATTATTTTATTTAATCGAAAGAGAAATTTGTAATGCTACAATTACTTGAACATTTAACATTTTTCGCTAAAAGACATTGTTTTTTGTCTTCACTGAAACGATAACCATATTCACACGCTGTATAATTATGTGTACGTTTATCCAAACATGTATAATGAAACTGACACGATGGACGATATTTATCGATATAATGACCATCTAATAAGTCTTTGCAAACTGGTTTGAATGCGCATAATGGACTATGATCATAATCACCTAAATAAATAAAGTCCACAAAGATCTTTTTCCTTCTTTAGATCCATTTGGTATATGTGCATGCATTTCACTTACACGGCACGATACACTCTGTACGCGTTCCACATACAACAACTTGATAGCTTTCACAACTTTTCGATAATGTTGAAAATAATTTATAAGGCGGACAAATTTGTTCTTTCAATTGACCAGTTATACACTCGAAATATTGGCAACAACTTGAGGGATCAACAAACCTCATTCGTTGTCCGCTTGCCGGACATCGATTTTCGCCTGAAAAATAATTATCAGTTCTATTAGGCTTTGTATCCATGTCAACAACAACGCGAAAATAATGTACTAGTTTACTTACATTCAGGAACATTCTTTTTCCAATCACATGTGTTATGGCCTTTGAAAAAACCATATCTACCCAAGTTAGTGAAATTATTTTATGATTGACTTTTATTTTACCTTTATGATAGTAGAGTCCGGGTTCACATAACATAACAGTATCTTTACCACCTAGAAAGAAACTCTGACGGGTTTTTCTTCTTTGATAGTGAAGAACATACCATTGCAAAAATGATATGCTGCACAATCATACGGATCTTCGAAATATTTTGATACGCCTTTTGGACATTCAATGGTCGAATAAATATTTCCAGGACGCCGATTTGGTAACGTATAATTTCCCTCACTTACACTTGGTAACGTTGATGACGTATACAAGTGACCTGCTTTACCTTAAATATATGAAAAACATGGTGAATGTTTGAATTAAATTAAATTAAATTGTAAAGTTCGATTTCCTACAGTCTGAATCTTTTGGCCAAACACATCCATCATCTTTTGTACTATACCATAAACCCTCACCACATGCTATTGGCATGTGTACACCTAAAATAAAGATAATTAGATAAATAATATCGGATATTTTCAACATAGTATATAACAATCTTACCCACAGCACAATAATGATAAACATGACAGTACTTTGGATCAGGAAAATATCCTTCGCTATCATATTCGCACGTATAATTACTATCAACTTTTAATGCTGTCCGCTTTGTTGTTGACTTCTTTTTGTTTCGCCATGCACGCGCTGGATCAGTCGAAAACAATGTCACTAAAATAATACTATTTATTTAGAGGATGTAATCAGACTATTTTTGTCTCTACACACTTCCTCGTATGTCAGTAATTTTTTCCCATTTTCTTATGCCATTTCTACATTCAACAGTATTGGTCCAGCCACAATTTTTCTTCTCTGGATCCCAAGCTGTTCCTTCTCCGCATACAACGGCTGTATCTATACCAGCGTTGCACATATGATAGATTCGACAGTTGTTGTAATCTGGAAAATAGCCGTCAACTGAATAAAAAGAAGACTATTACAATTCGAATGTATCATTGAACATGGTATTACCTTTGCAAGTGAAAGCTCGTTTAACTCGTTTTCCTTCTCCGTCATTAAGTTCTTCATCTGAATAATCGTCTTCATTTAATATATATGAATTTGGTTTTGTCACTATTGGTGCACTACTCGTGTAAGTGTTTTGAGTGTTTTCTGTTTGATTGCGTTCCAAATAAGTTGAAGTAATTTGCGTATTCCACTTGGTCGATATCGTTGTTGCTGAATTAATCGGCGTTTCAATATATTGTATTTGATTGTATGGTTCATTCGTTGATACTAATAATTTTAATAATGTCAAGTTTTTACTTGATTTTTGCCTCAATAATATTGTGTTGTTCACAGTTCTGAGCGATTTTGCAGTTGTAAAATTAAAACTATATTTATGTAATAATTCATTGAAGGTTTTACTTTCATAAACATGAATGACACAAATGATTACTAATAAATAAAAGAAAAATATTATGAATGAAAAAATAACCACTCATCGTACAATACGACGAATTTAAGCAGTTGAAGATAGACAAACTTACCAATTAAGTATATAATACACCATTCATTTCTCATAGCTCATCCATACTATTCCTACAGGAGCATACAAATAAATGCACAAATAATAAAACTGAAGAAAAGATTTTTGATATTTTCTTGATTGCTACGTTTTACACATCAACAATATCTTGATGATAATGAAATTATTAATTTGTACCTCGTTTGAATTTACATTAAATAATTTACAGTTAAAATTAAAAGAAAGGAATGTTTTTCGTTTCTTTTGACCACTAATTTTTTCCTCACACAATTAACTATGTTTTATTCAACATTTTAGTATTTATCATTTCTACTTTGAACATAAGTGAATTGTACACATTTAATTAATTGCATACCCACCATCGCAATTTGTTTTCTTTTGGACTAACTTTTGTTTGTCTCGGCTTACACATACGCATACAATGGAGTAGTGTTCAAAAAAAAAGAAAAAGGTGAATAGAAATGTCAACATTTTTGTTCAATGCGCGTTTACATGTCGAAAGGATGTAAGATTTCTTTCTTTGTTGTCTTTCATATTCGTGGGAATAAAAAAAACATATTCTCACTTAACGGGATAATACAAACCAGTTGCGAGAACAAAATTTTTCTCTTTGTTTAATTCGAACTGATCAAGAATAATACGTAAACAATGTTCTACATTTTGTTATCTAATCGTATACAGCAATGTATAATACCGTTACGATGTCTAAGTAAATAGTAATCAATGTACACGTGCATTATTATAAAATACATATCTTCTTTATTTAGAGTTATCGAATAAAAGTTCATCATTTAAGATTCTCATAGTATGTCGCAAAATAAACAAGTTTTATCTTTTTTCGAAGCATAGAAATGTCTGATATCAGACTAGTATAAGGACTTTTGTCAAGAATATATCTTGAATTTTTTTAGAAAATCGAAGTATATATTACATAAATAGTCAGATTGGTCTTGTAGTCTTATTTTACATAAACAGAATCTTACGTTGATCTAAAAATTCTTTCTTATTCTTAATTCTCCTAGAACACATCAAATTTCATCGGATATTGGTCAATAACGTTTAACTTATTTTCTGCTGCAGAACGAGATCTATGAATTTCCTGACAGAATCCTAGATATATCCTACCACAAATCTACTAGTATTTCGCTTCAGGATGCTAATAAAATTCTATAGAATGCTAATAGAGATAACCGAAAGTTGTAGAATTTATAAAGTTTATGTTAGAATCTCGGACAAATCTAAGTGAAATCCTAGCAGGATTTTAGCGTCTAAGCTCCTGCTAGGAAGTTTACGAGATCCTAAATATATAAATATAGGAAACAGACTGGAAATGCATAGAATTTTGTCTAGAATGTTGACTGACTCGACAGCAGAGTAGAAAAGTATCCTTTAAAGGTCTTCAATACTGATTACTACATTGTAAAAATTTATATACTCAACGAAATTTGATGTTTTCTTGGACATACGAAAGAGAAGATTTAGGAAACTCACTTTTCAGGTACTGGTTTTTCTTGGCGAGATCTCTGAAAAAATAGTAATAGAAGATCTTCTATTTTATACTTCTTGATTATTGAATAATATTTATTAAATTAAACTATGTTTTTTGTTCAAGTTTTAAAGACACAAGTTGAATCGTTGCTGAATTCTAAGACAGTAATGTAGTTTAGCCGTTAATCAAAAGTGTGCTCAAATAGTGATGATGGAGAACCTTAAACTTTGTCAAGAAGTCAGAGATTGAGACTAGTGTACTGTAAATAAACAATGACGACGTGTTTTTGACAGCTCTCGACATTTTTCTACTTTTAGATATCTTCTAAATCGTTTAAAATCAAGTTAAAATGAGCTCATCGTTAGTGAATCTAACAGTCGGTCAACTTTCTGTTTTGATAATGTTCTTTTGTAAATTTAGATTCTCTATTCTATTTTACGTATAATTAGGCTATTTTAGAGAATAGTGATTTGATCTAGGATCCCTGAAAATGTATGCGTACGTCACTATAAGGAAAATATTTTATTGACAAATGAAGGAAATTTATCAAACTGTTGTACTAGGTGTACCCAATAGCATACTGCCAGCAGTTTTCAGCATAGATATTGAAAAAAACTGGCCTCAATTTGCTTGCGCAAGAGGCAGCAAAAAATGAAACGTGAAATTTCCAAGTTTTAACAAAACAAAAACGTAATGTTCTAGATGAACAAAATCTGAAAAAAATCGGATAAAAATTTTCAATTTTATACAATCTTCCTTCCTTTCTGACTGCACTTGCTGATCCTCGCGAGAGTGTAAATATTAATCTTACTCTGGTGAATTCGATTAAAAGGGAAGATACTTTAATTTCGTATTTTATTAACCCTTTACACCCGAGGACACTTTTATTATAGCTGCAGCTGAAATAACTACTGGATTGAAGCTTACAGCTCTTCGGTACATCCTTGTTATGTCTGGACTTAAGTAATGTTGCTGTGCTGCGTGGATACATGATGTCCTTTGGAAGGGACATACGGGTGTAACGCCATGAATTTTGTATTTTTTTGTTGTTTTTCCGAACTTCCTTTTTTAGTCTGGTATACTAACTTAGTATGAGTTTCTAAGGGACTCAGTGGAAAAATTCGATAGAAAGAAACATTCAGACATATTTTTCTTTAATTTTTCCA